ACTTTTTTTATTGTGAAATTAATGACCTGCCATTGTTATTTTTATGGTATTCACATGCTTTTTGTTCAATTTTGCAAAGACTCAAAATATTCATTTGGTTTCCCAAAGAAGCATCAACCATGTGCATGACAGATAAGGAGTGTAACAAGGAGTCAGCGAGCAGGTGAAAACTGACTCACGCACACGACCTAGATTAGCCGCGTTAGCATCATGGGAGTCCCGACTCCCACTGTATAGGGGTATGATGTAGGTCTCAGGTCAGTGTAGGACTTATTTGGCCCACTATGTTTTTGCTTCAACATTTCACTATATCATCCGCAAACTGGAAATGTCTAGCTGTCCACAATGGTTTCCTGTGACTCATCAGTAAATCTGCAGTGGGCCCGGTGGGTGGAGTGGGCAAGAGGAAGATTTAAAGTTCAGCCCGTAATCAGGGTTTGAGGTTTTTATAGCCTCATCATTGCAATCTTATCTGGGCGGGGCGGGGTCTTCTGTTCCCCCATTGACTGGACGCCATCAGAGGTGGAGCCTTGAAGTTGACCTGCCCCCCCCCCTCAGAGAGACAGACAGACACACATAGCCATTTATACATATACATCTCAAGAAGACTGGACAATCGCATTAAACATTAAACAATGTTTAATGGCTAAAGTACTCAGTAGGTGGCTAGATTGATTTAAATTTATAATCCACATCCGGGGATGTCATTAGGCCTATTTTAGGGGGGCTTTAACCTCCCTAAAATGTTTTTAGCCCCCCTAAAGAAATGTGTAATTATTGGCTTAAGTCATGGATAGCTTTGTATATTGTATATGTTTGCCATTAGCACCACCCCCCCCCCCCACCCCCCAGTAAAGACTCAGCCCCCCTATCCATTCATCTCTAACTACACCCATGCCCATGTTCAATATTCCTCTGTAAACCTTTAATTTTTTAAATACACAAAGAGTACCACAGTAGGGCAACTACTGGCATTTCAGCCAGCAAGTTCCCAAGCCCATATCCATATCGCCTGCGCCATCTGCTGTCACAACAGAAACCCTTCGCAGGTTTTGGACTCTTCTTAGAAGGCCTTTGCCTGCAGGCTTTCACAGAGACAGCTCTCTGCTTTCTGTCATCCTCCATAAACCAGCCTTCCTGTCCAGCCCCTTAGATCACAGCTGTATGAAACGGAGAAGGAATGCAAGGGGGGAATAAAACAGTCAGAGCTGAAGCTTTCTCCACGATGGAGCCTATGCCGTACTCCCCATTTCCAACTTCTTTTTATGACCGAAGTATGTAAACGAAACATTCCGCCAGAAGATTCATTGTATGGAGACACACACTTTTCACATTTTCACATAAAAATAGCCCCATCAGGTGTGGAGATGTTTTATGCCATCTCTCTCAAAGACACGTTGAACGCGCTTGCATATCTGTATGTGCGTGAATCAACATTCCATGGATACCAGCCACCCTGCTCCGTGCGTGTGAGGGAGGGAGGATAGGATATCCCAAGCTCTGGGAAGAGGGCCTAACGAGCCCAGGCGAGAGTAGGCCGCCGTGGGGCCCTCCCTGTGCCTCAAGCTCTTGTGGCAGGCCAGGTCACCTTTTCGAGGTCTAATGGCTTTGGCTGCGTGAATCTGCAGTGCCATCCCAAAATTTATCAAAGGTCTTTTTGCAACAGCCTAGATAAATGACGCACCCCACCAGAGGAATGAGCAGCTATATCCAGGGGGCACGATGGCATCCAGAGAGACGATGTTTGGCTCAGTGGTTTCAGGCTCTGTGTCTGTGTTCAGAAGGTTGCTGGTTCAAATCCTCTGACTGGTAAGCTGATACTGCTGTTGGCCCCCTGAGAAATGACCATAATCTCCAAATGCTCCTGTGTGCTAGACACTGCCTGACCCTCTGCTGCCACTGCCCACCGCCAGACGTACTCTTACTTGAAAGTTTCTCTCATGGAAAGCCAGATGGGATAAGCAAAAAGATCATTTGCTTGCTTGTCATACCAGTCTAATGTTGAGTCCATTTGCATTTATCCATTTGGCAGACGCCTTTATTCAATGTGATGTATAATCGCTCCAGGATCCAACGGTGAAACCGCTTGGCCGTCTGCAGGATTTGAACCAACCACCTGACAGGCAGAGCATCCTAAGCCACAGAGCTGGACACCACCCTAGGTAAAGAAAAACAGAAACCTTTCAAAACACAAACACCGCATGGAACATCTTGACAGACATCTAAGTTACGCCAGAAATGTATGACACAGCAGTGAGGTATTTATGTTTGAGTACCATGTGCAAGGACGTTAAGGCGGGCGGGCGTCGTTCTTACGGTAAGACAGTAAGATCAGGAGTCATGAAGCTGACTCAACCGTGTCAGGAGTCGCCCCTCCCCACCCCTACGCACAGAGTCTGTGCTGGCCTTAGCAGTTTGCTGTTTGCGTGGCCCACAATGGCAACTGACTCACCATCACACCCAACCGACCCACCTCTGCTCAGGCCTTTCATTCCGCCGAAGTTTGGTCCGCACAGCTGGAACAAGCAGAGGGCAGAGAATGGAGAACCAGGGTGACAAAAAAACCCCTTAATAAACAAATGTAAGATTAGCCATTTTGCTGAACAAGTCTCACAACAACAGCGCTCTTTTTATGGGTTACAGTTAAAACAAAAGTGATCGGCAGTTATGTATAAGGGCTCAGAGAATGAGAAACAGCTGAACTGGATCAATATAAACGACAGCGGTCACCTCCGTTCTTTCAAAGACTGCCATTTCTTGTAAATTAGCTTGAGATAACACCACAGCACGCCGTCCTGAAATAGCAGTTTCTTTGCAGAGGGACAGGGTTTCTGCTCCAGGGTTTCTGCTCCAGGGTTTCTGCTCCAGGGTTACTGCTCCTTAACCGGCTCTTATCCAGACACTTGGCCACGCTTGTGGGACGAGCCACTTTTCACTGCTGCTCCCCAAAATGTCTGAGTGGGATTTACCACTCAGAGAATCTGAATTAAGACCCAAAATGTCTTATGTTATTTCTTAATCAGAAGGTCATTCATGTCACTTGTAAAGGAAAAATATAATTTATCCTCCAAACTAAATGTGAATGAGACCGCTACCATTACAATTCTTCCAGATCCATCCACCAACTGTTAGCAGGGGTATGACTGGAAATCACACCCCTGAAAAGATGTCCTTTTTGCGGGGCACGGGGAGGCCACACTGCAGAGCATCTCCTTGCCCATCTGACACCCCTGCTTGTCTCCTTAGCCAGGAACGGCGACCATCCTCCTTGTGTGATCTTGCCACTGACAACCGTGCAGAGCATGACGGAAAGTATTTTACAGCTCCCTGGGCATCTGCTCAATGTCTGTAACATCTTTAATTAACTCGCTGGCGAAAGGAAGGCCTTTTGCTCTATTCAGAGACAATACATTAAGCATTTTCCAAAAGAGTTAGGAAAGAGCTGCTCGGGGCCAATTGTAATATAAGACTTAAAATAGTCGACTCACATTTGCCAATGATTTGTTGTTCTTCCGAACAGGGAGTGTGTTATGAAATTGTAATTAGTATTGTTGAAGGGAAGCCTGCAAATTTAACAAAACACAGTAGATCACAGCTATGTCCAAGTGGGATTCATTGATGGACTTAAGAAAATAATAAAATACAGATGCAACAACAAAGCTGAGAATGTATTGTACCTGCAACAAAAAGCTCGCAGCAAAGCAGTTTGCATATGGACTGGTGGTCAAATGTTTGCACATGACTGTTTATCTGAAAACATTTAATAGTTGTAAATTCTGAAATAACCACTTACTCCTCGTCCAAGGAGCCATCTAAGATAAGTATTGGCATAGACACCATTTCTTATGGTGCAAACGCGCCCCCTACTGGAGAAGTGCATACACTGAATAATCACCCTAATCTCAAACAGGCATCTGTCCATATTGCAGCATTCCCAAAAAAAGAATAATAACCCATGTTGTGTTTATGCCCTACTGAGCACATAATCAAATATCATGCAAGAAAGAAAAAAACAGGCATGTTTCAGACCTCATACATCCAGGGCTGGTATTTGAATCCCTCATTTGTTGTGTGACTGTGAAGTTTGCATGTTCTTTCCATTGTGCATGATTCTACCTGCACCCAAAGACATGCAGCTGTCATTGCTAAACCCCACAGTGTGTGTGTGATGTATATATTATGTTGTGGGGACCAAATGACCTCACAATGTAATAAAAAATCTTACTGTGACGTTGTGGGGACCATTTTTTCAATCCTCACAGGAGGAAACTCAATTTTATAAAAATCTGCAACTGCAGTGTGTGTGTGTGTGTGTATGTGTGTGTATGTGTGTGTGTGTGTGTGTGATTACGTGCCCTGTGATGGACTGGCATCCTGTCTAGGGTGCCCACCTGCCCTGTGCCCATCTGTCCTGTGCCCATCTGTCCTGTGCCCACCTGCCCTGTGCCCACCTGTCCTGTGCTCACCTGTCCTGTGCCCACCTGTCCTGTGCCCACCTGTCCCTTGCTCACCTGTCCTGTGCCCACCTGTCCTGTGCTCACCTGTCCTATGCCCACCTGTCCCTTGCTCACCTGTCTTGTGCCCACCTGCCCTGTGCCCACCTGTCCCTTGCTCACCTGCCCTGTGCCCACCTGCCCTGTGCCCACCTGTCCCGTGCCCACCTGTCCCTTGCTCACCTGCCCTGTGCCCACCTGTCCTGTGCCCACCTGTCCTGTGCTCACCTGTCCTGTGCCCACCTACCCTGTGCTCACCTGTCCTGTGCTCACCTGCCCTGTGCTCACCTGCCCTGTGCTCACCTGTCCTGTGCTCACCTGCCCTGTGCCCACCTGCCCTGTGCTCACCTGCCCTGTGCCCACCTGCCCTGTGCCCTGCGCTGCCTGCTAAGTAGTTAGAAGATGGATGTGTAGTGAGATAACAACACATTTATCAATGATCCTGAGAACTGAAAAGCTGACAAAGTAAATGTGGGAATAATAAAAATGTAGTAAAGTCATAGTTAGTCAGGGTTGGAGGAACACAACTTTATTTATTAAGCACATTTTTCATACATGAAATAATTCGAAGTGCAGAAAATGTGGAAAAAAAGACATAACAAGGATGCAAGACAAAGTAAAATGTTAAAAAATGGAAATATAAAATAAATACAAGTATAATAAAATACAATTAAAGCAGTAGAAAATAAAAGTGTTTTTAACTGTGAACCACATATTGGCTGAAAGTCATTTCTCAATTTTTTTTGGGGGGGAGGGGGGTTGAATCCTTTGGCGGTTTGAATTGCCGTAATACACACGATCGCTCATTGCTGTGTATAGGGTTAAATAAACTTCGTTACTTAATTATTAATGTGCTTTGTGTTAATTGAGGGACGTTTTGAGGCTTGAAAAAGTGGTGGAACTTCGTCAGCCAGTCACTGGATAAACACAACCTCACATACACCAGTAAACTGCTGAGCAAACCACATACTCCGTAACTGGGAAACATTAAAGCAATGACAGACACCGGGCCCCCATATGGGATGGGGTTGTTACTGTCAGAGTTACATTCCAGGAAGCATAGAGCACGAGACAGGGCTCACATACATACAATCACACTCCACGGACAGCAGTGTGAACAGCCTATCGGAGACGCTGGTTTATTATTGCCGGTCAGAAGCTCCCAGCTTACGCCCTCCGCTGCAGCCAAGCTACAGGCGGTACTTATCTCAGCCACTAGAGGGCGCTCTTTTGCTTTTCTGCCTTACGGTGAGGCTTCATGAGTCAGCAACAGTAACTGGAACTGCTGCCGTCATAGCAGAAGCAGTGCCTGAAGTGCGTAAAAAACAGGTGCCAGTTCTTCCCTTGTTATTATGTATTGGTACACAAAAAACATTCCTGATGCCAGTACTGTGTACCAGTGAGTACTGACTCACGTCAAGCATGGTAGAAGCAGTTTGAAGATGAACGTATGGATGGATCAGTTCTGGAAGCCAGGGAACACAGTATTATATAAGGGGATTTAACAAAAAGGTCAAATTCTGTATTTTAGAATGCAAAGTCAGAGTCGTGACCTTCGCCTTGAAATGCTGCGATATAATACATGTTACATTTAGTTTTAATTTTGTAGGAAATCAAATAATATAATCACTTTCGAAATAGGTTATGCTATGCAATAGTTATTAGTGTTTCATTCAAGCAAGAGAGGTCAACAGAAAGGAGTATTTGTACTCTACCCAGGTCACTAGAGAATTTATTTCTGGACATTTCTCCTCAAACAGCCACAGATGCTCAGAGTGGTTCCTGGTCAGGTCTGCCCTTCTGCCATCACAGCTAATGTCCCTGAGCCCTACAAGTATGTGTGTGCGCGAGTGTCCGAGTGAGAATACAGCACATGTGTGTAATCACAAACGCAGCCACAAGTGTCGTTTGCGTTTTCTGCATGTGGGTGACAATCCCCAGATTGGTGCATCTTCACGGTTCCATCGCTGGCTTGACCTCAGGTGTTCACCTTGTTTGCTGCATCTAGGAGGGATGCAAACTGAGAATCCGGTCTCTGCACCAAAACCTCTGGTCTGTCAAACTCTCCAACCTAAGATGAAAGAAGTTGCAAAGTCAATGTTAGGGTCAACTAAAGACACATATCTCTGTGGTGTAGGAACTCTACAAGACTTTAGTGGCTAAAAGATTATTCAGGCTAATGGATACTTCAGATGCTACTGAAGATCCTTCTTAAAAGTAACTCAAGTGTGAAAGATACTGGATACCGGCCAGACGGGTCCACAAGGGCGGGTAGGGTGGTGTACCTTTCCACCGTCCATGACCAGGATGCGGTCACACTCCAGTACAGTGTTGATGCGGTGGGCGATGGTCAGCATGGTGCAGTGATGGAAGGCTTCCCGTATGGTGTGCTGGATCAAGGAGTCTGTCTCGGAGTCAATGGAGGCCGTGGCCTCATCCAGAAGGATGATCTGAGGGGACAGAGTGCTTGTAACCAGAGGTAGATATTTCAGGTCTGTTAAGTAAATATCCAAACCAAGATTTTGTTTCGGCCGACCAGTTGAGTATAAAGAGTCACAGTCACAGAATACTCAATTGGTTGGTTGAAGCAAGATCTTGGTTTGGATATTTATTTTCTGGACCCGAACTACCCACCTCTGCTCGTAACCCTGATACCATTGACTTGAGTTTATCATAAAGGGATAGTTAAGCAAATGGATGGTAAAGTTAATTAGAGTCTAGCCCAGGGTTATTCAAATCACGGTCCGTGAGGTCCGAGCACTGCTGGTTCTCCAGCCTTCCTTTACCTGTGAAGCCTCTGACCAATCAGAATCAGCAATTATTAAACTAACTACCTGGGAAAACTGAAAACAAGGCCTGGATTTGGAATCGAGGTCCAGATTTGAAGAACCCTGGTCTAGCCTCTAGGTTCATTGTTCTGCTGGCGTGGTCTGTGGTGGCCTGCCCCTCACCTTGGAGTTCCTGAGGAGAGCTCGGGCCATACATAGCAGCTGCCTCTCGCCCACTGAGAAGTTCTCACCATTCTCCACCACAGCTGACTCCAGTTTCCCAGGCAGCTTAGAGATCTGCACAAGGAGAGAGGAGAGATATTGACCACATTCTCTGCAAAAATCCACTGTGATCATAAGTCTGGCAGCCCAATAACTTCTGCATTCTCCTGCACCCCTCAAACACACAGGAAAGTGATTCAGTTACCACCAGCTCATATTTCTGGGGAAAAACATGATTGTTTGGAGAACTATAGACATACAGCATCTTTCATATACGTCCTTTCCAAAGCCTTCCAGATGTCCTCATCCTTGTAATTGTCAAAAGGGTCCAGATTATATCTGCAATTTAATAAAGAAATAAAAATATATTTAATACAGCTAAAGAGCCCTTTCTGTCTGTATATTTAAGGCTGGTGTGACTTTTGAGTTTTACTGTATATTCAAAAGCGGTGCCCAGGATAACTCATTGAAATGCACACAAGAATCGATTTTGCAAGCAGGAAGGAATTGCAGATGTGTGAGGGGTTTAATATGAGTACGATCGTTACTGGCAGGTCACCGAACACACGGCCATTGCATACCTCACGGTGCCGATGAACAACACGGGGTCTTGCGGTATAACAGACAGCTTGCTGCGCAGGTCCTCCAGGCCGATGAGGCTGACGTCCACGTCGTCGATGAAGATCGTCCCTGCAGTTGCCTCCACGAGACGGAACAAGGCCACTCCGAGCGAGGACTTCCCTGAGGGTCCGACGAAACTTTCCGGTCAAGCAATCGTATTACGGGTTCTTTCTTCCTTAGCAAACATGTTAGTCATGAACCCATTGACATTGTTGGCAAAGTGTAGTAAATAAACCATTAGCATACGAGAAAGCAAGGCTGTCATAAACATTGCTTTCATTAATTTAATAAACATGACTCATAGATTTCCCTGCCTCCAGGATAAGCTCTGTACCCCCCCCCCTACCCCGCGACCCTGAATAGGACAAGCAGTTAGATAAATTTGATGGATGGACTCATCGATCGCTTTAAACTTGACATGTACGGTATATTTGGTAACGCTTTACCTGGAGGGGGCAGAAATACTTAGCAGTAACTCAGTTACTATTGAAGGACAAATCATAAACAAATATAGTAGATAATTGAAATAAAAGATGCATCATGATTCATTAATGATGAACAAACCCGAGATTGATATGTAACTAAAACTTAATTTGTGGTTAATTGATATGTAAAGAAAAGTGTTGTTGTATGTCCTACATTCCCTTACCACGCTGTTCTGCCCGGGGTGACAAACTCACCAGAGCCTGTTCTTCCCACAATTCCAATCTTTTCATTTGGCGCAATGCTCATATTAAGGTTGTTCAGCACTATGGGGGTGTTCTCCCTGTATCTCATTTGGTAGCTCCTAAAGGTGATGGCTCCTTTCTGGGGCCAGCCACTGGGGATCTTAGCATCCTCTATCTTCCTAGGCGCCTCTGGGACACAGTTCTGGAAGTGAGGAAGCATCGGTCACGTTAATGTCGGTTTGAAGAACAGTGTACCTTATAGAACATTCAGCTGGCACTCCACCAGTCTCACCGTGATATATTCCTGCAGCCTTTCGACGGAGGTAAATTTTGCTTCTACCTCTGTTGATAGCCTCACAACATACTGCAACATTCCTGTCAGCTGCAATGCGGAAGAGAGTTATATAGGTGTTCTGGTGACTGTAACACTGGTAATGTGGTTATTATTGTCCTGCAAGCTCTACAAGCGCACCAGAATGCTGGATAATGGGCACCAGATGACAGTTCTGTTGTGGGATTTAACAGCGGCGTATCCAGCATATTACATTTTTAACTCCAAATATGCCGAATGAATGATGTTTAAATGACGCATGTTTAAATGCATCGCCAGATATTGACGATGGACAGTTCCAGTCCTCCAGGTCATTCAAAAATCACGCTAGCTTTTTGTTAGCTGCTGATGTCAACATCTATGCACTTGTTCACAGCTCTTACCTGGATTGTGTAGGACAGAGCCAGTCCTTTCAAGGCTGAACTTATGGTTTCTGGGCTCAGCACAACAAACAGTGCCACTAAGAGGGTGACGATGGCAGAGAGGAAGTCCAGCCTGAAGGACAGCCAGCGGGTCCCACAGTTGAAGAGTATGAAGTGGTTCGAGTTCATGTCACTCAACAACTTGAACCTGAAACCATGACAACCCAATGACTGGTGGTCTGAAGCACCACATTAGATCAGTACAGTAAGTGTCCATTCTACATTTGCTCAAACACTCTTAGACATTATATAAGTGTTAGTGCAGGCCTCACTTTTCAATGTAGTGTGTGCCTTTGTTGTAGGCATGGATGGTGCTGAGACCTTGGATAGTAGATGTTGTGTGTGAGATCCAAGGGGACCTGCTAATGTTCTCCATCCTTTTCATGTCCCGGATGCTCCTCTGGAAAACACTGAAGGTCATGGACCATCAGATCACGCTTATCAGATTGATTTCTCACACATGCATAAAAACGAAAACCTGGGGTGAGGACTCACTAGAGGATGGCGCTGAACACCAGCCCCAACACGACGATGCCAATGAGAAGGTAGGGAAAGACAGCAGAGACGGTGCCGAGGATGAAGACGACTATCAAGCAGAACTGGAGGAAGCTCTCTAGGTGGAACGGCAGGGCAGTGTCCACCTCGTCCTGATCCTTGGAGAAGCGGTTGACCATCCTGCCCGTGGGTGTGGTGTCAAAAAAGCTCATTGGGCTCAGGAGAATCTGAATGTAACACAACACGTTAATATAACCTCAGCAAGTAACCTCAGGAGGTGACCAGTTTGGTGACATTAATCTGTTCATGATGAGACTGCTTAACTTAACTATTCCCTCAACTTTACAGATATTCTACACATTTCACGAACTTCCACCTGCTTTAAAAATAAATTATAATATTCACAAATACTAGAGTCTTATGGCGCCTTACTGCTACTGATGGGTAACAGGATTAATAGTGTTAATAGTAGTGATGGCCAAATGAAGCTTCATGAACCATTTGCTGTATTTTCTGACACCACTAGATGGTGCTCAATATTCATAATAGGGCTCAAAGCATGCCTCAAAGTAAATCAAGAGCACCATCTAGTAGGGTCAGAAAATACAGCAAATGGTTCATGAAGCGTCATTTGGCTATCACTAGTTAATAGTTAATAGGTTATTAAAAAGCATTTTCCTCCCACTCAGTTTTCGCTCTTGTTCTGACCTGGATCACTCGCATTTACAACCAACAACCTCATGATTGTTAGGAAGCTGACATGTCCATCTCCAATTTACCACCCAGCCAAGAGGTCTGGCGCCCACAGACACCTGACATCTCAATGAGGCCACATGTGTACAGTCGTCACGGAGATCACCTTTCTAAACATTCTGTCGTGGAGCTTGGAGGAGGCGCGCAGGGTGACCTTGGTGAAGGAGTAGCCTTTGATGACACTGAAGAGAACCATGGCCACAATGACTATGCAGTACACCAGCTGGTAGAAGAAGAGGTCCGGGTTCTCCGATATGTTCCCGCTGTCATCATTGTTTGTGGAGTTTGTGGAGTTTGTGGAGTTTCCCTGTTTTGGTGAAATTTGTGGAATGTGACCTGTATGCTTGATTTGGGACCCAGCTTCTCTTGGCATTTACGATCAAAATATTTACGATGTACAAAAACAAAAATTAACAATTTCTCCAATATACTTCTAATGAGATTAACATAAAACCCTTGAAGAACAATGTGTCTCAGGGATAAGCCGACATAATACAGATTTGAGATTTTTTATGAAAATTTTCAACCAATGAGATTACCCCAGATCCTTGTTCCAACCAATAACTGAGCCACCAGCTGCTGAAAGCCGTCGTTCCCACCAGCAGTAGGAAAATGATGAAGGTGATCAAGACTATGATGTAACCTGCAAGCACAGGAGAGCTGTATTGAAACAACAAACGGCTAGCCCCGCCTCTGTGTGCACTAGCCTATCAGAATCCTTACCTCCGGCTGCTGTGCAGTACTGGTGATAGGTCCTCCATGTCACTGAGCCCTCCTGGGCAGATTCCTTGGAGACAAGCTGGTCACTGGTACCTATTACAGGAATTACAAATTTACCGTAAACACAGCCCATCATCAAGCTGCTGCTCAAGGAATCAGTAAAAGTTCATATATGACAAGATGCCTGTGAGTAAACATTACGAGAAGAATACATCTTACATTTCCCTAAAAATTATTAATTCGGAAGCCTGTTAGTTGCCTAGAGTAAAATATAAATTGCGAAACACAAACAGCAACCCATTTTAGCTTTCAAACATGACGATTTCTTCCAAGCTTTGTGATTTTTATGCCTTGGTTCGTTTGAACTTTGCCATTAATCAGTTAGCTTGGGAAGACCCGTTTCGTTATTAAGGTACCTTCAACATCAGGACTCGCGGATTCGGCTTTTGGCCCGTTCGTTCTGCCTGACTCGTCTGACATGTCGAATGCTGTGAAGAAGTTGCATATTTAGCTACACTAAATTTCAAGCGAAAAGCCACCACAACGTCACTGAGCAAACGAAACACAACTTACCAGGATTCTCTATTCCATTCGCTACACCGTCAGCATCATTTTTCTCATTACACTCTGCTGCATTAGGCTCGGAATCAGCCTTGCTTTCATTCTTTATGAAGAAGACGAATATTAATAATTAGGCATTTATCTGAAGCACGATAACAGTCTATTGATCAACCAATTTCATTTACTGCTGAACAACTTTAAATATGAATCTGAATAAAACAGTGATTTGTGTTGTTTTTTTTCTCCAATTTAAATTGTGACAAGTATGTCTTACATTCGACTGCTCCAGCTTGTAGTTATTAATGAGCTTTGCATAATGACGCTCTAACTTCATCAATTCCTTGTGGGTTCCAATTTCTTTAATCTCCCCATTGTCAAGAAGGAGGATTTCATCGCAGAACTCGAGGTACTGGGGAGGGGGGGGGGCAGAGAACCATCAGGCCACAATCAGGGTAGCATATGTCTACATCGATCAACAATATAATAGTAGGTCACATGTTGGCATTTGTGGAAACTCAGAGAGAATTAATTTTCAAAAACTGCTTGATAAATTGTGTTCTTCATGCATCTTGGGTCTTAAAATACTCATTATCAAATGGTTACGCTCACTTTTAAAGGAAAGTGCTCATCTGTGTGAATCACATCCAGTCACTCACACTGGCTGTTACACCTGCTACGTCACAATAAGAGAGGGTCACGTCAGCCAGTACCTGCAACTGATGCGTCACCAGGATGACTGACTTCCCCTTCAGCTCCTTCTTGATGCACTCCTCGAAGATGTGCTTCCCCACGTGGGAGTCCACAGCGGAGAGAGGGTCGTCCAGCAGCAGAATGTCCTTGTTCGAGTACACGGCTCTGGCCAGACTCACTCTCTGCTTCTGCCCACCTGAGAGATTCAGGCCCCTTTCACCGATCTTCAGGCAAGGGAATAAAGTACAGTCACCATCCATTCATTCATTCTCCATACTTGCTTGCCCTGTGTAGAGTTGTGGGGTCCAGAGGAGCCCAGCCCAGAAGCTTAGTGGGTGTAAACCTGAGTATCTGGAGGAAACCCCACAACGACACGGGGAGAACATGCAGACTCCATACTCAGGTGACCATGCCAACCACTGTGCCCGAGTCCCACTTCCCTTTTCGTCACCAGTTGAAAACTAAACACAACCATCCACTCAAGAAGTTATGTAAAGCCCAACCCTCCCCCACCCTGTCTGAAAACCTGCCCTGAACTGACCTTCTCAGCAAGCTGTAGATCATTTGAAGACTTCTCATAGATCATTGGGTATTACTCAGAATACAGGACACATGAGTCATATGTGTCAAGAGTGACAGCACTCAGCAATACTACTTAGACTGTTAACCCTTTGACCTTGAGTGATAAATGATTCATTAAATAAGTTGACCCTAAGCTGACCCTAAAAAAAAATAGCGGTGATAGCCAGCTGTCAGCTTAGGGAAAATGTGAGGATTACTGAGGCTACAAATCCCTGGCACATGGGACTCTGCCATGTTAATTGAATTAACATTTTTGTGGGAGTTTTACTTACACCTGATTGGTTGGTCCTGCCTCCTCTAGTTGCTTGGACCCACCTCCTCTACAATCTGATTGGTTATCTCTCTAAACCAATCATTTTTCCTTCTGCCCTCAGAACATTTTTATGTAGGTAAAGCTCCCATGAGCAGTTAACATGGGTAATGATTGACAGCACACCCTAAGCCCACCCCATTAAAGTTTAACACCTGCCTTCCCACAATGAGTTCAGTGAATGGCTGTCTTACCTCAGTTTTATCCCCGAAAGGGAGGATTTCCAGGTCTGGCTTAAGGCTGCAGGCACTGATCACTTTGCTGTACCTGTGAAAGGCAGGACTGGGTTCATTAAAACGCAGAGTCATTTTATTGGAGTCAGCCAAAATGTCACGTAGACTGTGAAAACATGACCCACAGCACAGATACATCCTTATTACACCAATAGCGCAGTCCACTGTCAATAATAGAAGGCAATAACATAGGTCAAAGACGCAAAGGTAAGGTCAGACTAAAACAACAGTTACATAGTACCTGTCCTCGTCAAACTCCTCCCCCATAAGAATGTTGTCTCGTACGGTCCCATGAAAAATCCAGGCCTGCTGGGCGACGTAGGCAAACGTCCCGTTTGCGGAGACCAAGCCGTGATGGAGGTGCAACTGAAAAAGGTGCAAAGTCATAGCCTTCATGACCAAGTCTTATGTAATCAGTTGCAATGTCAACTATTAAGCAGAAATGATTCACCAACAGTACAAGAATCTTAAACTGAATGACTACAATACTACTCATTCAGACAGAATTTGTAATGTTTTATTACATGATACTATTTAAAATGTACGTACTATTTTGTACTTGTCAAACTTACCTGCTCCAGAATGCTTGATATTAAAGATGTTTTTCCAGATCCTACATTCCCACAGATTCCAAGAAGACCTCCCTGAAAGGAAAGTATTAAAGGGTCAAAGTGTCAATTGAGATTCTGAAGAAATACAGCATGATTTCAATTCAATTCAATTCAATTCAATTCAATTAATTAAATTCAATTCAATTCAATTCAGTTTATCCAGAAGGGGCAATTAAAATGCATGTGGAGTAGCACAGCAAGGCATTGCCATTGGGCAAACCTTAATCTTATGTGTTGTAATAAAGTTCCATTAAAAAGTTCCATGGAAACCCTAACCCTAACCCTAACCCTAACCCTCCAGCACTGGCCAGCAGTCAGACCGATACCTTAGGTAGCACAAAGTTGATGTTTCTCAGCACAAGTTTGATCTTCTCTGGTGAACATGTCCCATTCTGAGCCTGGGCCTTTGCCTTCTTGCCCTTCACCCCATTGGCATGGGAGTCCTGGGCCTTTTCCCATGAGAAAGATGCTTTCTCCATCACCAGGGCATAAGGAGACCCTGCTTCCATCTTCACATAGGATTCCGGATTTTCCATAAGTAGGATTTTCTATACAAATGGTTAAACAAGTATTAGTGATGTTTCTGAAAGTACTATTTGCTATGTGCTGCTTCCAGAAAGGCTACCTGATGAATTCTTGAGGTAACAATGAGTGGTACGACGGTGGACATGTGGTACGACGGTGGACATGTGGTACGACGGTGGACATGTGGTACGACGGTGGACATGTGGTGCGACGGTGGACATGTGGTACGACGGTGGACATGTGGTGCGACGGTGGACATGTGGTGCGACGGTGGACATGTGGTGCGACGGTGGACATGTGGTGCGACGGTGGATATGTGGTACGACGGTGGACATGTGGTACGACGGTGGACATGTGGTACGACGGATACAGCGGGTAGTGGTGACCCCCACCTTCAAACGTGCCAAGGAGACCTTAGACTCTGCCATGGATTTAACTGCAAACGGAAGAAGGCCCAGGGTGAAGCGCATGGAATTGAAAATGGCGATGATGGTGAAGGCCTGCAACAAAGAACAAGGCTCCAGGTCACGGTCAGCTGCAGGGGAGCACAGGAGCAGCAAGCGATGGAGGGACGGGAGCACTCACAGACGTCGAACTTAGGTCCTGCCCCAGGGATGTGTGTGCAATGAAGGCAAGGATGGTGGCCACAGTGGGGATGATGGTCGTGATGGCGTTATTCAGGCTCTGAATGTAGCCAGCTTTCTGCAGTAAGAGCTTCTCCTTCTTCCTGATATCTGAGGACAACCATAGCAAACATATCGCTGCCATGCAGGAAGGCATCCAAGCTCCAAATACCAGCCATTGAGGCAGTGGGGTCACATATTCAAAATCATGACCCATCACATTGATCTGCAGAAACCCAGATGTTGCCAGATGTTGACAGCATCTGGGCTGGGGAACCTTTGAGCAGTGGAAGTTACTGTGTCCAAAAGCTGCAGGTTTCTGGTTGAGGTTAGCGAGGTCGCCTGGATGATTCCACCTGATGCTTAGCGTGTAGAAACACTGGCCAGCTGGCTCTTACATCAGTGCAATTACAAAGGCAGTCGATGACTTCATTGGTGGTCAGTGGTTGGGGAGGGGTGGTCTGACTGGGGTTGGTTTAAAATAAGGTCACAATATGGGGATTGTATGAGGGTAGGTGCGTACCAGCGATTTTATCCTCGAAAGAGCTTTCCCATGCGTACATTTTGATGAGCTTGACACATGTAAGGATCTCATTCATAGTGCGCACACGAGTGTCCGTGACAGAGATGGTCTTCCTCCTGTAGAAGTTGATCAATCTACCCATAGCAAACTCAGGAAGAAAGAAGGGGGAAAGTTTAACTCTCCTATTGCATAATCATCCAAAAAAGTGCTAAAAAAAAAACTTCCACCATTATGTTAATGTTTTACAATTGTTACAAAGAACTTTAACCAATGTTTATAAGTTTTTTAACATGCAGGCAGCATGAGGCTGTACTATGTTATAAAACAAGGTTTGGTGAAGTAAGGCCGTGTGTGTGTGTTTATCACAAGATAGGAAGCAGGGTGAAAGGTACCTGTACTGGAATAAAGATGGCGTATGCGAGGACACCAATTAAGGCTGTGTAGCCCAGGATATGGCAGGCATATGCGACGCAAATGATCAGCAGCAGTGGCAAGCAGAAAACAAATGTACCAAATATGACAGCCTCAAACATCCGGTACCCATCATTAGTGAGCACATTAATTATCTGGAAGGAAGCAAAAGCAGAGAGAAAAAAATTATATAACCAGATAACCCAGATACCCCGGATACCTGCGTGACCAAAACATTCACGTTTTCAATGAAGGTTCAGACCCATGGTTCAGTTCAGGCCTCGATTTTTGAGCCACAGTTTGGTTCTTACCTTGGTTTTGTTTTTTTCTGAGGGTGGGGGGTGAATATGAATAAGACGGGGCAAAATGTCTTGGTTTTTTTTTTTTATCACCATCAATTATGAATACCAAAAAGAACACTAAAGAACATGTTACATTAGCTTAACGTTGCATAAAATAACTACGTAAAGAAAAATTTATTTAAAAATAAAATACTCTACTGGACCAGAAATGTTGCCACAACTTGAATGTGTCTGGGTGCTCTGCAGACTTATGGTTATTTTCCATCTTGAGCCTATGAAACTAGCCTGGCTTTTACTGCAGGCATGAGCACGCAGTTATGGTTGGACAAAAATAGTCACATGATATGCAGTTGGAAGACAATGAAATAAGTGCAATGTGTAAAATTTACTAAATGCCCTAACTTAAGCCAAAATAATAATTTTGCGATTTACATGTGTTATAGTGTTAATTGTGAAATGCGTTATTGAGTTTTGTAACATTAATAACGTTCTTGGCAGCTCAAGAGGCTGCATACCACGGCAATAGGTTGGGGGGGGGGGTGGATATTGTGGTTCAGTCCAGAATCACAGCACTACATCATGAATGTTTGTGTCTTGGGTTTGGTCTCAGTTTCAGAACCGTTACACCCCCAGACAGAATCGATTATCTGTAGTTTAGACATGACAGAGCATTACCCCAAAGACTTGGCTTCTCAAAGAAATGTATTCTGACACGAAATACAGCAGAATTCAGTGAAAGTCCACCTACTTCCCCCACTGAGAAGTTGCTGAGCATCTTCAGAGAGATGATCTTCTGGAAGGCCAGGGTGCAGAAGGCACTCTTGACTCGGATGCCAGTCCTCATGTTCACCGCCCAGAGCAGCGATACCAGGAAGGCTTTGCAAAATTCGGAGGTGAAAAGGGCAAAACAAAGACCAACTCCATGAAGTACATTGGAGTCTTGAATCTCCACAAAGTGCAAAATTTCATAAACTAGGACAGACTGCAAATAAAAGAAAATGAGGATTATTAAAATGGCTAAATTCAACATACCACTTCACACAAACGCATTCAGGGGTTTTATATGTCACGTGTACGGTATACAGTCAGACTATAACCTGCAGTGAAATGCAAGCTGGTCAACTCCGACATAGTAAAAATACTTAAGCACAATAAGGCAGAAAGGTAACTATGTAATAAAGTAAACAGACTTGCATTTGGTGTTTAGATGTAGCTGTGAGAAATACAGCACACAGAACTACAAGAATAACCTCCTCACTCATCTATCCATCTATACATTTAGCATAGCCAGTTATCCTATTAGTAGTGAGCCCCCTTAGGGTCGGTCCCAAGAAGCAGTGGGCGTAATGACGGATACAGCCCAGATAAAAACTAAGGCTGCACAATATCACATCACACACGATATGTGAAATTTCCACAACTGCAATATTAATAACACAAGAAGAGATGAAATTATGCTAAATTAACTATAGACGCTCCCTGGGTTACGATGGTACCTGTTACGATATTTTGACTTTACGATGGGTATGATTACTCAATAAATTACATGATATATTCAACATTTTATTATAAAATAGGCTTTGTGTTAAGTATTCCGTCCAACTTTAGGCTAATGTAAGTGTTCTAAGCATGTTTAAGGTAGGCTAGGCTAGGCTATGATGTTTGTCAGGTTAGGTGTACTGTATTAAAATGCATTTTCGCCTTACGATAGATATATCGGAACGATGAACCTCATCATAACCTGGGGAGCGTCTGTATAGCCAAACAAAACTCCTTATTATCTGTGTGTCAGATACATTAGTGATGCTGCCATGATGTGTGATTATTGCACATGCACGGACTTGACAATGCTTAAACGATACATCCCAACTCATCCCAAAGCACTCACACAGATATTCACACACACAGTTACACACCATGATAACTAAAAATCCACATAACGAAAGCCACCTAAACTCATGAACCTAATTCTTGGAAACACATACCGGTCCAAGAAAAACTGCTACTGTGAACAAAACGCTGATGAGGAACGCCACAAACATTCTCGTCCTCTGAAAACGAATCATGACTCGTCCTAAGGATGCCTTCTCAAATCCCACTCTGGCAACCTCTGCTTCCCAAAGTCTCTGGAACCTACAAAGCATGAAATCACAAAGGGATTCCACTATTCAACAAGTCAAGAAAATGCAGCAAGTTCTATTCCGTTAAGGAAGGACAGCCTGAGTACCTCTTTCCGTTAACATGAGCACTGTCTTGTGGAGACAAAGACAAAGAACTGGGGTCCAGCTTCTTCCTGAAGATCTTCCACATTAAGGGTGTCATCCAGGAGAATGACGTGAAGGAGAAAAACCCAGCATCATCCATGGGGTTAGACCTGCAGAGAGCACCACTGACTTTAGATATTGGCGCGCCTGTCCTTGTAGCACATGCCAAGCGATGAAGATAACAGATTGAAAATATTTTGATACATGGAAGCAGACATTGGTATGTTCCCATCAAGCACAGGCAGTACTACACCCTATTTAGTGGGGTGTCAGCCCCCCTCTTTTTGTCTCAGTCCCCCTAAGAATGATTTTTCTAAAACCATCTAGCAATTTGTCCCATATTTCCATAGTACCCGGCTCAGTACATTTTATCATGGGGACCCCCCCCCCCCGCTTTAATGGTGCGGGTGGGTGTCCTGTATTTTTACAGGAGGCAGAACCTCCCTAGGGGTCAAATCCTAGAATTGCCCCACATTCCATGCATGGTGGGTGCTGCCAGGGCTTCCCAAAGGCCAGTCATCATTTAAACCCAGCGGAGGCGAATCACCACGAGCACCGGTACTCACTGAGACGTAAAGCGGAGAGGAATCAAATTCTGACAGCTGGCATAGTACTTGTGATGTTGGGCTGAAGGCTCCTCGTCCCGGAAGTCTAGAGATGGCAGTAACTCAGGATAGCCAACGATGCTGTTGGATGTGGTCTCTGAAGGGAAGCTCTCTCTTCTCTTTTTCTTTACAGGAAAGAGGGAAAACAATGGAAATGAGGAGGGTAGGAAAACAGACCATGGACAAGACAGAAGAGGGACGGGAGTGATTGTGAACTCACAAAAGAGATCCCCTTAACCATCTCGGAATCTCCAAAGTCATTCATTTTACTTTTCATATTTGCCAGGACCTGCAAGAAGAACAATATCACAATGAGGGCCTCCATCAAAGACAGACATCCAAAAGCAATTGTCTTCATGTCTACATGATATTTCCACGCCACTCTTTTTATCTCCATTTAAACTCCAATTAACAAAAAAAGCCGTGAAGAATCATCCACAGCCATAACAGCATATCAGATCAATCTTTAAATAAACTCTAAGCAACTGCTCTTGTGACAGAATGTGCTCCATGGTACATTCTTATTCAAAAACATTTTCTATCATTTAAAATGAGAATTAGGTGATACCTGAATGTATAGGTGGTATGGAAAGGTCCAGTGAAATGTGTTATTGAAGTTTGGCCAAAAGCTTTATATATGTCACAGAATTTTATGAGGCTCAAAGATCACTTTGTACAGAGGTGTCATCACTCTCTCAGTTCTCTTTGCCATCTCATCTCTTAAGTTTGGCTCTGGTACACATTGGTTTTAATATTTAACTAAATCGCCCCCGACATTAGGGCCAAATCACAGTTTAGGCAGTAAAACGGAAATTGCTGTAACCTAATGCTACCATTCTCATAAAAGATCACTTCATCAACCGGAGACGGTAAAAACTTCAGGGTTTTCAAAAACAAATATAAAGTGATGTCTTAACTATATGTAATATATATTGTATTTCATTCTTTATTAAACCTTGTCATTTCTGTCATTGATTTGTCATTGGCTTTGCCAACCAAAGCCAGCCATTATCGTGGAATGTGGAGACATTCATACCGGCATACTTTCAAAGATGTGACACCGACGTTCCCTTCCTATAAGCAAAAAAAACGTACGTTTTACGAAACGAATGTGATCATCAGTAAAAGAACAGCAGGTTTAAAAATGGATGGATGTATGGATGGGTGGGTGGATGGAAAATTAAGTGTTAAATCTCAGCAGGAAGGTTCTTCCCCTCGCTTTGACATAAAAAGCAAACAAACTCATCGTTCATGTAGATGTATAATCGCTAATCCAAGGTCGGTAATAACAGTGTCAATTGTTCATGTCGTTCCAAGCAAGTCGGGTGAACCCAGTGTGTCATTACATTACACAAAAACTCAGAAGGCAGAGAGGATGTCCGTAGGTAGTACAGCGGCATTTAACCTGCGCACGGCGGGGAAGCCGCCGCTGGGGGGCGCTCGGCACGGGGCGGGCGCTTCATCGCAGCGATACTTACGCGGCTGTAGGTGAAAAGCAGTAAGGCATGCAGTGCAGTTCTGTGCCAGATTATCAGTTTTTATAGTTTACCGAGTCGGCATACACAGGTGAATTCTATATTATTAGTAAATTGCGCGTCAATAGCCTATAAAATATGATCAAGAAGTCGATGATAAGATTTAGCGCCCGCCGAGCGTGTATTAGAAATGTACAAGTTAAATATAGCTACTGATTCGTGTAGGCTAAATTCGCTATTTATTTATATACTTCCCTAACTTGAGTAAAATGGATCGCTTGTAATATCACCAATTTAAACACGAGGGGTACAGACCAAGCGTAAATTTAGTTTGACTTGGGAGAAAGTAACCACATTCACAAAACATAAAAAGATACACATATTAAAAGAATCGGACGTGAAACTCATTAGATCCAGAAAAACGTCATAGTTTTAATTATAGTTTTATGTTTGTTCGTTTCATTTATCCATATTAAAAGTCTGTCAGCGTTTGATACACGTCACAGTAATTGTCGTCATTCATTGAATCTCCGGGAGGTGGCAGTAAAGGCACGTCAACGCAAAGCAACTAGTCAGTACCACAGGGATTTAATATGTTTAAACAAGACTAATTCTTGTCTACAACGATAATGATTTGTTTTTCCTTAAATTTCCATTAATTGAACTATTAAACAAATGGAAATGTGTTGATATGCTCTTCATATATAACGTCCCCAATGCTGGACGACTTGGTCAAAAGGTTCATGCGGGGCTGACGCCAGCTAAACGATTCAAGGGTTTTTATTTGTCACATGTAGGCTATACAGTTAGACTATAACCAGCAGTAAAATCAAAGTTGGTCAACTTCATAAAGCATAAAAAGTAACAGCAATAAAATAATTAAAATCTAAAAAAATACAATATAATAAATATGCAAACAATCAGTGACATGAAGCTGTAGTGAAAAAGAAAGAAAAAGAAATAAAAATCATACAAAACAGATGTGCAGCACAGCTCAGATAAAGTGCAGCACAGCTCAGATAAAGTGCAGCACAGCTCAGATAAAGTGCAGCACAGCTCAGA